GGCTCAGCTTCCTCAACAGAAGGCATGTTGGTGGGATTGAGGAGGTCTTCAAAGTATTCCGCCCACCGGCACACAACGTCACGAGTTGAGGTCAGCAGTACTGTTTTCTTTCAAAGTCAAATGTGACGTGCTACCCAACTCAGCCGGAAGGTGGAACTAAAAAGAATGACAAAATGATATGTTGCTTAAAGGTAAGATTAATAAAGATTACAACAGAACAGTTATTACAGAAGATGATTAGGCCCACAAAGCAAAGATATGGTTTCATGAATGTGACACAAATTCTTATGTATATTGACTTTGACCTGTCAATTCTGAGAAGTCAATTCTAAAATTAGTCATAATTCCGACAAACAAAAAAGTGAACTCAGAATTTTTTTGGCTCTGAGTTCCAAACCCTCTTAATTCAACATTGGATTAAAGCAATGTGATCAATTTAACATAAATAGCTTAAACTTCTTGCATGTTCAGTCATTCTCAGGTGCCTGTTATGGCTATTTAATAATGTAAAAGCTTTTTTAACCAAATTACTTTGTTAAACAGGACTAGCCTTAGCAACGTTTGCATAATTCTATAAACCATTTCAACATCACTATGCAGTGTCAGAAGTGTAACTCTGTTAAGCAAAAACCTCTCACAATCTCCCAAATCCCTGCGTGTACAGTAGTGTGTGAGACAGAAAAGATGGTTTACGTCCTACCAGGCGCCCGATGTTATGATTGTTGTCTATGTTTATGTTTTGTTCCAGTTTTCTGTCTTGTCATCTTTTTTCTTCCTCCTGTTTGCCTTTGCTCCAGCCCCGCCCACTCTCACCTGCTCCTCACTTTCTCTCCCAGGTGTTTCCTGTTTGTGCTCGTTAGTCTCACCTTAACATTCTGAGTCTTGTCTTCACTTCCCTGTCTGATCATTGTGCTGTTCACAACTTGTATGTTTGTTGCCTTGCCTTGCCTTGCCTTGCCTTGCCACACCAAGTGAGTTTTTGAGCTGCCCTGCCAGCCTTCCTTGTTTAATAAATACTTATTTTTGCCTTTTTGAAGCTGCTTGCACCCTGGATTCATTCTTTTTTTGCCAATTCATAACAATTAGGGGTGCAACGATACAGATAATTCACAGTTCGGTTCGATACTTTAGTCTCGGTTCAATATTTTTTTGATACAAAAAAGGAAAATTTCCATGCCCCTTTTAACTTTTAATTCATTTAAATTAATTATGAACATTTGTTTAACCTCAAAAGTCCAGTTTTTAAATTAAATGTTGCTGAAACAGCAAGTTTCTCAGTGGATCTGCGCTCAAAAATGCAGCCTAGGTGGAGTAGTCGAACACAGATTCGCTGATCCTTTAACACAGAGCATCTTCAGAAGACAAGCTGATAAATTAAATTAAAAAAAAAATCTGTATTGTTCGATACAAGTGTGTATTGAACCTAAAGCACTGTTCGATATGGGTACATGTATTGTTGCACCACTAATATCTATATATAAAGCCTGTTCCATATTCAAATCTAATCCTCCAATTTTGCAGATGCATGTTTTCTCTAACTGTGTTTTTCTAACCGTGGCTGTCATAGAAGGTTTTTATTTCAACATGTAGCACTGTCCTAATAACCTTTCATTGTGACAGGCACACTGTCAATACTGTAATACACCAAAAAGGTGCTTGTAATCGTTCAAACCCCCCTTACTTTATTTCCTCCCTTATCAAAAAGGTACGTTTTTTTTTTAAACATCACATAAACCCAGGAGGTAAGTGGAGGGCATAATATGACTTTTCCCTGCCTCCATTTTCCCCCTCCTCTCACATCACAACAGCTACTCCTACCCCTGAAATTTCCCACAGGGACCTACATTCCCTAGAGTTTAACAGAAACGCTCATGCGACGCCTGCCACTGCCAGAAACTGACAACTCAAACAAAGCTCAGTCATTTCTATTCACCAAGTGTTCGCCGATCATGTAATCCAATGCAGTATTGCATGAGATTAAGCATAACGTTATTTTCAAGGTTCAATCAAAAAAAAAAAAAAAAAAAAACTACTACACTTGGATGAATGCATGTCATCTGCATCTAGTTTTACACCAACAGGTTGGATTTGAAAAAAATAAAGGCAGATTTGGTCTTGTCATATCAATACATTCTAATGATCTGTAATGCAAA